AATATAAAAATAATCTTATTTTTGTACACAATGGTTTTCATATTTCTTTCACCTGATAATTTGTATGAAAAAATAATTTGTAGTTATTATTAGTGAAATTAATAACTTTTTACATATTTTCTCTTATTCTTTTAATGATTTGTTTAATTTTTTTTCTTTCTTGAATACAAAAAATGTTATTTTATTATTGTCCAATTTAATTATGTTACTGATAGTCAATAAAAGAGTCAAGTGCAGTCAACTCATTCTCATTTTGGGACGAGTTTAAATATAAAAATAAAACTAATACTTTTCAATAAAGAAATTTATATAATTTATACATGTCTATTATGTATACCATTAAACTTAGTTATTTATGAAAGTTTAGAGTTTTGAGTGTTTAGTTTTTTCTTTGAATGAAAATGATTATTTCTTTTCTTTCTTTTTTTTTGTGATGCTTAAGAAATTTCTCAAATATACAAAATTTAGCTATATTTTTATTTTCAATTTCACTTATTTTATTATGGCGAGTTACAATTACATTATATATTTTTTTATTTATTAACTTAAAAAAAATAAAAATAATTAAATGCAACTTTTAGCACATTTCGCCCAAAGCCTTATAATGTTGAGGACCGACTCTGAATATTAGTTACAAAATCTGATCATCTATCAAGATGCTGTTATTACTAGATAAAAAATAAAAATAAAAATCAATACAACCTGCGAATAAATAAGACAAAAAATAAATCAAAAACTACCATAACCACATCCCCATACCAATCTATTGCAACATGTGCAGAAGATAGCACCATCTTTCTTATAACCTTCAAGCCTTCTCTGCTCCATAACAATAATGTAATTGAATGTTAGCAACCAAATCAACCGAAACAAAGAAAAGCAGAACTACCTTTACCATCTCCATAAGCATTAACGAGGAACCATTTAACAGCAGCAGATGACAGAGTAATTATTTGTATTCACCTTTCCATGCATGACATACGACAAAGTAGTACCATCAGGTAGCAGATCTTCCATTAAGACAGATTTATGCATTTTCAAATCCCTGGAGAAGGGAAAACAAGAATAAGGTTCGTGCTACAAACAGCTAAAATCAAGTTAGCCTGGAAGATGACCCCGGAATTGTGAAATTAAAGAATACACCATAAAATAATGTTGATGTGAAGAAAACTCACTTTCGTGTTAGCTTCCCTTGACGTTTGCTTTGACTTTGAGGTTGTTTATGTGAAGAAAGTCGAGCACTTTCTGGAACTTCAGGCTGGCAAACAGAGACTACCGGTGGTGATGACCCAACAAACGGGGACCTACAATGCTCATCATTTACCCGGATTTCATTAAGTGCACATTTGACTTGAGAAAGATAAAGAACATTTTTAATAGCATAGATTCAGTTCATTGGATCCTCACAGCTATGGAGAATAAAGAACTTTATTTATTATTCAATAGCCTACGTGTCCGTCGTGACGTGTATTTCATTGAACCAAACTTCTGACTTTTGTACAAATTCTAAGAGACTGCATGTTATTTATTTGTCCATACGATCAACAAGGAAAATTAAAAGCATAACTACATGAAATAAAGGCAGCAAACTGGGGTATACACATCTTCAATATATTTCCTCCACTGCAATTCGTTCCATGGAAGATGTCTTATTTTGTTGTACAAATATAACCACACCCGTGCATAACACAATTCCTATAGCCGTGTTTCTTACCTATTACCATTAGCTCTTATTTTAAATCATTAGTTCTGAGATCAAAATTTAAAGGGGAAATGAAGAAATATTACAAGTTTCCAGATATTTAACATATGCTAACACTGTCACCTCCGAACTGCAAAATAAATGTTAAGGTTACGTGCAATGATATGTAGAGCTATTACATGTAAAAGAAACAGTCAGTATATCAAAGATATTTCCACCGAATAAAGCAAACACAGCTAACTACATTACCTAGGGGTGACTTCACTGCTCTGGATGTGTCCCGGATCAGAATCCTTAGGTAGAACACAAGAATCACACAGAAGCATTTGTCTGCCAGCACCAGATTCAGGAATCAACCCTGGAAACATAAACAAGAAAACATGGAAAATTTGTTCTAAACCCATCTGAACACAATGCGAACACATGATTTATCAAAAAAAATTGATCATGAATGCCACCTTTACAGTTTATACAAAAAGCAGTTGTAAAATCCGAACGACCAATGGCGTTCTGAATCACCAATGCCAATGATTCTGATTGATTGGCCTTGCATGCATTCAGAACGTCTCTCAAGCTCTTCCCATTTTCCAAATATATATATTCTGGGGGGCGCTTATTTGCACTATTTGCATGCATCTCAAATATATTAGGCGTCACAACCTACATCAACAACAGCCAAGGGTAAGTAGCATAGAATCACAGGAAAAGGAACTGATACCCAGTAGTAAGGTTCACATCCTATACCTCTTTCCCCTTGCATTCACTACATTTACATAATATCCCCGCTGCCCTAATAACTCCCTGAAGTTCTGTGTCAGGATGCCTCCTCCTCTACAATTTCCAAAGAAGAGGAACAAAAATGAAATATATAGAAAAAAACAAAGGTAAGGAAACAAATGGAAAAATTCCCAACCTTAGAGCCATTGATGTATCTAACACTGAGACCCTCCAAGAGTCCAGTCTCTAGAAGATCCTTCAACCTTAAAGGCACCTTCCTCAGCTCGACCTTCTTCGACATCTTCATTTCGCGTTTACACCGGCTATCTGTCAAAGTTGCTGCACTTTTACTCTCTCTAGTTGGTGCCTCAAGAAAAGACTCCTCCTGTTGCTGTTTCAAATCCCGAGTGTGCCTCCTCAGTGGTTTTTCTTCAGTCCTGCTTGTAGCCTCTCCAATTATCTCACATCCTAAATCAGAGACTCCTTCATTTGTTTTTTCGCCTTCATGAGTAAAATCTATGTCACTAACTCCACCCTGAGACGATGGTAACTCTATGCCCAACACCTGGGGGTCCACAGCTTCCTTATAATCCGCCCCCACTTTCTTCTCTGCCTCACTACTCTCCACAGCTACTAACTCTGCCTCTAAACTTCTTGAATCATTTCCTAAATTAGACTGTGCCTGTACTACATCTCCCATTGGCACTTCTACAATATCCAAATTTTCGCCGTTCTCCAACATCCTCACGTCCTCTTCTTCCCTAGAATTGGGCTGCAATTCCTGTGTCAAGGTCCCATCTACAATAATGAATTCTGGCTCCAAATTTCTCGATTCACACTCTATGGTGGACTCTACCTGTGCTCCATCCTTCTCAGGCACCTCTGGCTCCTCTTCTGATCCTTTTTTGTCTTTTTTCATTTTCTTAGGAACAGATCCCTTGACTTTTCTGTTTATCATACCACCGCTCCTTGTGTTTGCTCGCCTGGAACCACTGGCGCTTAGCGACCTCGTCACTCTTCCACCTTCTCTTGAAGACCTAATCAATTCCCCCTGAGCCTTCATCATCATGTTATACTCTCTCTTCAGACCAGGTTTAATGGAGGTTACCACTATTTCTCCCGGATCCATGTCCTTAAAAAACAATAATTAAAAAATATTAATCGGGGAAGAAATGGAAATAGAAAGTAAAGATAGGCAGTCCTAGTATTAAACACCATACGCCAATGAAACAATCCAGATCTGCATCAGGAGGACGTGAAAAACCACAAACATCGTGAGATTTGGGCGATTTATCACTTTCTCGTATCTGAATTTCTAGATCTACATAAAGGCATGATTGAGACAGAATAACAACAAATGTGCTTGCATGCCTGTCTTTCACGATTGTGCAAAGCGATTCAAACACAAAATGACGAAATGGAAATAATCAGAAAGGAAATAAGACCAGAAGTTATGGGTATGATTGAAACTATAGTTTGAATGTATATGATTGAAACTATAGTCGAATAACTTACAGTTGACTGCATAGGGAATCGGCAACTATTGAAAAGTTAATCGATATCAGAAAGGAAAAGATTTGCGATTTGTAAATCTTCAGCCAAAAATAAGGGTTTGCGAATTTCGATAGGGAAATATGAGAGTTACTCAGCATGCATTGCCTCGCTAGGTTCTATATAGGAAAATTTGAATCCACGTAAGCCCCAGGCACATCAACGAGAACCTTGGCCACGTAATGAGTCATCCTCAAACCAATTTTGTGAATTTCCAACCATTTTGAAATTTAAAATATTTGTTTAGTGAATTCTTACTGGAAGGTGGATGTTTCAAGTTCACTTTTTCACGGAAATTGAAAATTAGACAGATTTGGTGGTCCTACCGGAACGGAGGACTGTGCCCACTCCCCACTAAACCCAACAGCTATCATTCAATTCACGCTATGTTCACACTCACACTTACCAGACACTTCTAGAAATTCAATTTTTCCCAAGACAAGCATGCCTATGGGCATTCCAAATCAAGGGTAAAACATTTTTATTGCAACCTTACGTATTTTAATTTTTTTTATTTAACTTTGCAACTTATAGTATTTTCTTAGTAAAATGCAACATGAACTTCATCAACATTCATAATTTACAACTTTTTTAGTTCATCGGCACCATATAATCATCGGCAAAAACGCACGCTTGTATGGTCAAGATGTACGAGAGGTTGCAAATTAAGAATATTCATAAAGTTTATGTTGCATTTTACTAAGAATATTCCAAAGGTTGTAAAAGTTCAAAAACATGTACTATATAGTACAGGTTGCAAAAATGTTTTACCCTCAAAATCAATCCTTATAAACACTATCTCATCCCCACCCAATTTTAAGCCCAAGATACTTAAACTAGCCAAACAACCCTTAACAAATTTCCGTCACAATTGCCAAATTTATACGAAAATACAATTTACGAACTATTATCAAACATTTTAATACCTTCACGCATATCTACGTAAATAATGGATGTCCAAATAACTTACCAAACATATTTTCATTTTCAAACATGAAAATTCAAACAGCTTGCCAAACATATCTTCATTTATCACATGAAAGCCAATGACATCTCAAAGTTCTTTTTCAACAATATAAATAGGAAATTCTAATGAAACATTTCCATATATCACCTTGATTATGTGCAATAGACCCCTAGATCTAGCAAGGGTAATATCTTTCATGCAATTCTGAATTTTTTACGAACTTAGGACACTTCTAAGAATTGAAGAAAAATATAGGACGAATTCGCCAATGAAAATTCAAAAATAAACTTTGACACAGTTTACTGTTAGTTTGTTACATCACTAAAGTTGCAACCGACCGACATTACTCCTATTCCAATGGATTGTCTGACTGACTGTCTGTCTGTGAAATGTCTCTTTGCTAAAAAAAATATCAATTAGCTAAAAAATCAATACAGTTTAGTAATGTTAACTTCAAATAAACCCATGTTAAACTATGACAGAAATGCAAGAATGGAAAGATATCAATCTTAGAATATTATCTGCTGATTTTTGGGGACCTTAATCAGTGATAATCGTATGAATTTTGACTTACATATTATTCCTTATATGTTATTATTTTTTCCCTTGTATTTCTTATTACCATTTTATATTAGCTAAAATTTAGTATAAGATAGGGTTCCTCAATATGATATTATGGAGAGATTTATGTTGTAATAGCATTGATTATGGGGCAAGTTATTCTTGGGCAGGAATCTGGAGAAGTATCGTACTTCTTGTTCATCTTTATGGGTGTTTCATCAACAAATCACATATTCATTTTCCCGATCCTTTACTCCTAACAACTCACTCATGAATGATCTTTCTGCACGACTATTTTTGTTCCCCAAGAATAAACTACATCAAATTACATGTGTTAATGGTGAGACCGTCTTACAACCAACATAGTTCCATTTTTCTATTCAAACACATTTGTATCACATTTTACTCAGTATTAGTACCATGAGCACGTTATAGCCTGAATAGTCAAGAAAGGGGCTTCAGGGAGAGGCTTGGCTGAAGGGGTCTTTATTTCTTTTTCTATTAATTTATGTAAAACTATTTGAATATACAAGCACGGTTTTGGTTCGGATACAAGATATGGAGAGCTGAGCTCCAGTCCATATTTGGCAAACCTATGCTTGACACTTACACAGTTGCCATCCAACTAGCTGCTCTAAGTTACACGAAACCATTCAGATAAAATCACCACTTTTTGTCCATTCCCCGCATTGATTCAGCACTCTATCCAACTAGACTTAACATTCGTTTTGTATTACACATACAAAACTTTGTAAGTACATTACATGTACTAACTTTTTAGTTGGTCATGAGGTGCTATGTGACCAGCTCTTCAAGGAAAAATAATAAACGGTATGGAGCAATGAACAATTTTTGCCTAACAAAACGAAAGTCAAATAAATAAATACAAGTAACATATAACAAATAAGTTAAAACTTGAAAAAGTTGCTTACTTTGGAGTTGCGACTACCTCGGCTCTTGACTGCAACCATTAGTATGTCTACAACCACAAAACAAACCCTGTACAGATAATAATTAATTCTATTAATCAATACCTGCAGAACTTGGAAGTTTTCATCATGAACTATAAACATAAAATGATAATGATAGGCTATAAACTTGCAAATAAAGCACATCACTATTTTAGGTTCACACTTGTTCAAGTAGAACACCTAATATTGTTTTCCGAAAAAAGAACTTATAGCCAAATTAAGCACCAAGTCTTGCGAAAAGGAAAACGTAAATCAGATGAAGTTTCTATGCAGATGGATCTCTTGTTTGTAAATGATGTTTAATAGTGAGATGAGTCACATTCTTTTCTAATCCATTTTGAAATGAATGCAGATATTAACAAATGTTATCTCCAACCAAATAAAATATTTCTTTATTATGTATTTGTGTACTTCAACAAAATAACCTCTCGGTGTTTGTTAAGCATAGTCTAAGGTTGCATAGTGTGTAAGATCCTTAAAAGTAAAGGATGTTCCTCATTTTAATTTACACTCCCTGAATCTCCACTTGGCAATAATGAATCAATAATTGAATGTTACAATAACTATGTCATTTGGTAATTCACATCCGGTTACAATCTCATATGTTAGACAAACACCTTACCTACAACTTTCTCGGACAAGCTTAAAGAAATACACTAAGAAGACTATTTACATAAAAGGCAACAATGTTGGATCATATGACAAAAGATTCTTGTAATATGCTACATTTACATCAAATCACTCCAATAGATTGAGTACAGCAGTATTTCATTTTTGTCTACACTGTAACACCAGTGCACTTGTAAAGATAATTACAAGGTTTTCAATTCAGTAGCGATAACAATATTTTCCTACCTCGGATATCCTCCATGATGTCATTATTTTCCTTCATTTTAGATGTAACTGACAAAGCTAGAATAGGGCAACTGTTCAACTACACAAATATATGATAGTCAAGAGATTTACACCACTTATAACCATATTCTCAGTTACCTTCAACCAGAATACTGAATCTAATGTAGAGTATACAGCATCATCACATAACTCACTTTCAATGTCAATCCAAAATCTTTTGTCCCGGACTTAACTTCCATAGTTATACCACAATCCATCCTCCCTACAAATCCCAAATAAATGTATACGCTAGCAGCACCGCATCCCAAAGAATAAACATCCAGAGTAAATGCGGATTTTATGGAATTAAGATGTATAGCATCATTAGACATAAGAAGATAAATGCATTGCAAAAGGCAATTAACAGGACACTCATCTTTTCCACTTTGAATCTCATTCCATAAAAAATCCTTACACAATTACCTATGTTCTCCCTGCTAAGCTGGCTGCAGTTAAGTCATGTGACTACACTAAATCAAACAAATTGAAGTCAAGATCCCATAGATTCTACTAAGGGTGGTACTAGATTAAAAATGTGGCGAATATATCATTTAAGCATTGTCCATAACTGCATATTAAAAGAAATTTAACAAAATGGAGTAAGCATCTACACAAGTCTAAAATGAGATGCTATAGTTTATACAAAAAACCTAAGGGACTAAGTACACTTCCGTTCCTAGAAGCAAACATATCCTGAATGATTAGCATATCGAATATCTATTAAGTTAAAAACTCTTGAAAAAGAGATCCCCATATTAGCATAAATGTAAAAATAGCACAGTCGTTAAGGAAACCAGCATGCTAATAAATCATACTACTAAATAGCAAATCCCATGCTCCAACTGTAACATCCCTTATATTTGAAAAGAAAACAACAAATAGAAAATTAACGACTGTCAAAAGACGAGGTATGTGGATAGAGACAAGGGCGGAATCTATGTATCCTTCTTTCTTGATGCATACCATAAACAAATAGAGTTTTTCCATTTGTTTTCATAACATTAAACCCAAAATATAATCACCAGTGCAGAATTTTCTACCCCAACCAAAATATACACCATATATACAAAACTCGACGCAAATATGTTGCTAAAATCAAAATAAAACCCTTGAAATCAAGATAATAGTTTTGTGAAGAACACGAATATAATTGACAATGTCATGAAGTTCGAAACGGCCTAAAAATCAAGCAGACAGCACCAATGGAAATTCTGGAGGAAACCCAAGAATATGCTTATGTTCAGTTGTCTGTTCCTTTCAAGCCCTATTAGTCATTCAAATTATTCTATTGTCATCCGTGAACAAATTTACCAAGGTTTCAACAACAAGCTTCATAAACACTCTAGTTAACCTAAGGTACTCTCAGATTTGGTCAACAAACTCCATTCATTTTCAAGAACATACATAACCCACTTCGAAATATAAAGCTTTATCAGCCACGTTAAGCATAAAGCTTGCACTTTGTCAACTTAATCCTAGTTTTTTTAAAGAAAAAATGCGCTTTTTATCAAACAACTAAACCCATGTTCATAAAATCAGAAAATCTGGCACCTACCTTGAAAAGACTAGGTCACGATTATCGACAGATACACCAAGTTGGAGTTATCGATCTTGTCCGTTCTCAACCGTGGCGCACGGCTGCCTTGCGGACACACGGTAATCGGCGACCGGAAAAACCAGTCCCGTGGCCGAAATCTGAACGAAAACGCGATGGAATTTGGACGAAAAGAGAAACTTAGGGAACGGAAACTGAAGAAAATACCAGAAAGGACGAGAAAAATACACGGAGATTGATTTATAACCAGGAACTTCACACGTTCCCAAGGATAATGCGGAGAGGAAGAGGCGATTTGCTCAGAGTTTTTTGGGGAAAATAGACTCTGAGGAGTCATGTTTCAAATTTTTGTTTTTTTAAGGCGAAAATTATAAAATTAAAAATAAAAATCACATTTTTAAACTCAAGCTATATATATACATTATA